ACTCCCCCCAAGCACCAGAAGAGTATCCCCATTTTATAGACGGCAAAACTGTGGTAGCTGGGGACAGATTTATTTTTTTAAGACACTGGGTGCTTCTGCACATCCATTAATGTGCTTTTCCTAATGCACATTTAGTACCTCCAATGTGAGGTACTAAATAAATGCACATTAGGTTGCCCAAATGCACAGTGCTGAAAGCGCACGCTTTTTAAGTGACACTTAATGCACAGAGTAGCCTATTTACTGTGCCATAGCGCAGGGGTTTTCAACTGGGGGTACGTGGCAGCGGTGTGGAGAGGCCGGCAGCACTTCCAGTTTTGCTGGTGGCACTTCCGGTTTCACTGGCAGCACTTCCAGTTTTGCAGCTGTGCGCTGCACAGGGAACTCCCCTCCCCCCCAGCTCGTCAACCAGCCACCGGGGGACCTAACCCCTCCCCGCTCATCAACCAGCCACCAAGAGACTCCCTGCTTCTCACCGACTGCTGGGGGTACCCTGACCAAAAAAGGTTGAAAATCCCTGCATTAGACTTTTTACGCAGTTTTTTATGCAATGCTTTAATGCGCAGAAAATAGTCTACTGCACATTAAAATTCACATGTCGATGCACCCAGTGAGATGCCAAAAATGCAGATAAATGCTTAGTAGAATTCTGCTAAGTGCCCGAGTGTTTGAATCTAGTCGAGTTAAACAAATAAAAGTCATCTGAAAACAAAGTAATGCCTAAAGATATTAAGCTCCCAGGGGGAGGGGGGGAAGAAGTCTTTTCTAAAACTTGTTTTAACTTTTGATTGTCATTCCCATAACTAATTGCTATCTCCACAATAACTGTTATGTAGCACTGTGAAGAAAAACGACGGGAGGTATTTTCAGCAAACCCCTTTAGTTTTAAGTAAATAATTGGTTTAGCCTCATAAATAATTACTTCATTTGATGAATCATTTCAACTCATTTTAGGTTTCAGTAGTATTTAATAGTCCCATACAGTAAAGTAATTGTGGAATTAGGAATTCATTTGTCACTCATGTAACTTATTATTTTAATTAGATCAAGTAAAAAAAAAAGCTCTCTCTTTTTTAGAAAGATAATTTGTGACATTCAATATGTTCATCATTTCAGCGAGGGTACAGCAAATTGTCTTAATATCTAAATGCATTACCAGAGTGTACGTACATGCACATGCAGACACTCAACATCTGAGCCCCCAACCAAAAGGCCATGATATTTTCATAACGGTGACCTTGACGCCTTTTTTCTTCGATGGAAATCACATACAACTTCTGTCCAGACATGCTGAATGAAAGAGTTGAAACTGAAGAAAAAAATGTTCTCGGGGCATGGAAAATAGGTTTCTGTCCACTAGGGATCAGCAACAATCTCTATGACTGCAAATAATTTGGTGATAGGAAATGAGATGCCAGGTAAAAACTGCCTTTCCCGGCAAAACATGAGTCAATAGTTCCCAATGCTTTGCCCTTATGAATGGCATTGTACATCCAAGTATCTCAAAGCACTTGCCTAGCAACAGGGAATTAACCTGCCTAGCCCCTCTGCTGAATAGGTATCTTTCCCTCCATTTTACAGATGGGGGAGTACAGGGTACAGAGAATTGAAGTAGTTTGTCCAGTTTCACACAGTGGGACACACTCAGAAGACCCAGCTCTTCCCCAGCCCTGTGCTTAGTAGTCCCTGATTCAGTGCCAGAAAGGGGAACACAGTGCAACCTACACTACAGACATCTGAAAGCCAAGAGAGGTCAACCACTTTTTACCTTAAACTCTGATCAGAGACTAATGATGAGTATTTACACCAGCTAATGTTTCACTATCACATGAGACTTGGGGCATTGCTAAAGCCTCTATAGTCAACGCCCCACTTTTTATCTCATTGAAGAGGCAGCTTATATATTTTCAGGCTGAGATGAGGTCAGCAGACCTTTCAGAGTCTGACCTGGCAGCCATGAGAAATGAAAAATGAGGATCCCATGGAGACATGGAATTGGAGCTAAAAAGCAAGGCCGGTCAGTTCCCCAGTTCCCAAAGAGGGCTGAGGGGGAAGAAGGGCAAGGGTTGAAGATTGATGAGGTGGGCAATAGCTCATATTTACATATCTGGGGCCAGTTTGACAGGAGAAAAAATAAGTTAACCCAAAAAAATAGAAATCTAATCTACTGTAGGCTTGCCGACTTGTCAGAAGTCTTCGAGCAAAGCAGCCACACTCAACTATGCAGAGGTGTTCCAACGAAGCACCCTGGCCAATAAATCTGTGTGATTTCCTGTTCGGAGAGACAGACAGAGAGATATGGCTAGGGATGGGCAGAGCTGTCTGCATAAAGGAAGAGTCCATGTTTTCACCCCAAACCCAAACCCAACCTCTCCAAGGTTAGGAAAAGTTCAGTTCACTTGGTGGTGGGGGACTTTATTTTTCACTGTTGTATTTTTTCTGAGAGAGCTGGAAATTAGAGAGACAAATTATTCCTTACCAGTGGCAACCAGAAGTAGTGGAAATGTCTCACAAAAGCCTTTTCTCATGAGATTTCCAACCCAAAAGGTTTGGGTGTACAGTTTCTGGCCCCAGATAACAAGTGGCTTTGTTTAATAGTTCTGCTTGTGGTGAGAATTGCTTCACACAACCCCACTATTTCCTCACCCCTCTGTGTGCCCCTTGCTTTGCAACCCCTGCCCTGCTTTCCTCTTTTTCTGCAGCGCATAGTGCAAGATAACAGAGGAGGAAAGCAGTTTCCAAGTCAAAGAGGCTTTGTTGTAAGGTCTCAGGAGACACCATGCACGATGATAACAATGTTCCAGGGCTCCAGCTGTTAGATAAGAGTCTTCTAAGCCAACTACACTTTTTTCTGGAAATACAGGCATCAAAGAATAGGAATTAGGAGAGAGTTTCAGTTTTTACCTATAGGGGGTGCGTCTACATGTTCATTAACGTGCGATAGTTACTGCACATTTAATTTAGTACGTGTATAATCAAGTACTAAATAAATGTGCCGTAACTAGAGTTACCTTGCAGTGGTGCCAGCAAATGCCTTTTTAGTAACGCTACTGCGCAGTAGCCTAACAATACTGCGCAGCAGCGTCTTAGCATGGTTTGTGCTGTGACGCACTACTGCACATTGTTATTAGGCTACTGCACATTAAGCATCTCATGTAGACACACCCAGGATAGACCTAATCCTTGAATGTTTTGCTGCTTAGATTTATCCAGGAATAGTCAACATTTGAAGACCGCTAGAATGAATGTGGTGGAGCTCACATAGCTTTAAAAATCTCACGAAATACCCAGGCTGGTGACTGTACAAGGGGTGTCCTTTCAGTATCACCATCAACTTACAATCATCATTTCACCCCGATACTCCTCTTAATGTTTGGGCCTCCTCAACTCATACAGCCTCAAGCAAACCTGTAAAGACTGGGCATGCCAAGCTCATGGCTCTTCTCCAGCTTTGAATGGCCAGTATTTATCATGTCACTTCACTCACTGGGTATGTTTCTTTTACAGAGAGACCAAAAATCTATGAAAAGGAGACTGATTTTGAGAAGGTTGAGCGGGTGGAACTGGGAAGTAAACACAGACTTCAGTGCACTGCAAGTGGCAACCCTGAGCCCGAGATCCACTGGGAGTGGCAACCATGCGACCAGACAGGACTTCAGTAAGTGGTTATGCATGGGGCTGTCTTTGAAGGAGAAGTTCAGCATGAGCAGCTCGAGACATCCTTTTCTAAGACATTGTGTCCTCATTATGCTCGGGTGCCTGCGAATTGAAAGAGTTCAAAGGTTGGGTGCAGCATTCATTTATTCATTTCAAAGAGCAAGTCCCCTGCCCACAGCATGGACAGCAGAAGTGATCTGAATCAATCCCAACCCAGAGAGGTCCCTTTGGCTAATGTTATTCAGCCCTTATCCCCTCTGCTAACAGTGTTGACAGAATTCTTCATCTCTGTTGAAATCGGTGGGAGTTTAGCCATTAAATTTATTAGCAGCAGGGCAAGATCTTTAGGGCCAGGTGTGAAGGTGGTTTGTGCATTGTGAATGTCTGTCCATAGTCCTGTTCCGAGACTAAGGAGCTCATTTCACACAGCAGATGGTTACCCTGAAGCTACAGTAGATTCAGAAAAGTGATCAAGAAGGGAAAAGCGGTATCACCCCATTGCAGCTTCTGTGAGAAATAATAATGACGCATAAATAAGGATCTTAAGAGGTTTTTGTTTTTTTAAGGCAGATGTTACTGGTTGTTTTAAAGAGGCATTCATAATTCTCACCTGACTTAAAATTTAGGTTTGGTAAAAAAATAAACTTCTACAGAGACCTGTGACCCACGGAGAAATTTCCAAATCTTTGCATTCCAATAGAAGCAGCTACTTCGAAAACAAACAGACTTTCCCCCGCAGAATTTGCAGCCACGACTGCAGGTTTCATACATTCCTAGCTTGTTAGGGCCAAAGGAACTGTAATAATCAACCAGGCTGACTTTAGCCAGGTTCTGAAGTGTAACAACAGAAACAAAACCGGCTCCATTGATTTTCATTATCCGAGCTGAGAAATAAAAAAAAGAAAGAAAGAAAATGAGCAGGAGGCAACGAGTGAAAAGAAAATTGGATTTTCAAAATCAATCCAGCTGCAGTAGTCTAAGGAGTAGCAGAACCAGGGAAATGTACTTGTTTAAAGCAGAAGCTCTGATTCTCACTTAAACTAATCACCACTTTTATGCTGTTCTGACAGTAAACAACACCCACCTGGTGGCTCCTTTGTGTTGTCAGAACAGTGCCCAGGCCCCCTCTTGCTACCAGAATCAGGTGGGGGTTGTTTTTACCTGACAGCATCCCTTTCATGTATCTGTTTGCTTCTGTATATTTTCTGGTGTGTTTGGGTATAGACCAAGGAAGCAACGGATTTGTGTGAGAAACCCCCAAGGGCAGATCTGAAGGAAGAACGTACCCTCTAGTGCAGAAAAGGCAGCCTTCTTATCACTGCAGGGGCTATCGATGGGCAAAGCCTTTGAGGTTCAGGCTCAGTGTGAAGTCCAAGCAGATGCTCATCCACACCAGCTCCACGTGTGCAGGTGGGATCCTAGGGGCCTTCTTCATTGATTCCTTCTGAGTGGCTGCCCACCCATGCCAAGCTCCTGTGTCGTAGAGTGGATGGAAGGGGCAGCATGAACCAAGTGCTTGGCTGTGAGCATGTCTTTGCTAAAAAACTGGCAGCAGCAGGAGGGTTGATAGAAGCAGATGAAATCCACCAAGCCTGCATCTGTCAAACAGGAACTCAGCGAGTTAAAGTGAGGTGCTTCGTGATGTTTCTTTCATGCATAGAAGTTCCTTTGTTCCTGTGGAGATGTTAGCAGAGCGGCCTACAGGGAGAGGCCTTAGTTCAGACCTAAAAGGGGAGGGCTTCGCTCGGTGAGCCCCCATGGGAAATAAGGGAGCCAAACCTAACAATGCTGCTTGCAGTTTAACTCTCTTCTGCCATGAGAAGGCTGAAGTCAGATTTTCCTTCCACAGGCAGATGTGGGAATATGGGGAGAAACGTGCTGTTTGGTTCCTCCCCGCCCCCTCCTTTTACTCTTTCATTTGCAAAATAGTAGTGGAAAATGTTTGAAGCTCAGGTTGCAGTTTCAACTCTTTTTCAAGGTTTTGTTTGATGACAGGCTGCTGGACACAGACAGGCTGCAAAGAGCAGCTCCCAGACAAAGCTAACTTAGTGCAGCTGCTTCCCCAAAAAGTTATGTCCCCTTACGCCTACCTGGCTCTGTAACTCTACGTATCCCAAACTTTCAGTCTCAGCAATGGTACTGTGTCAACCCAAGTGGTAAAAGAAAGAGTAGCCCAGTAATTGGCCTTGAGCTGGTTCACAGATGCACTTACCCTCCCTCCTCCCCGTGCACGTACACAGAAAGAAGCAGCTGAGGATTTGTAGACCTTTGTTAGTCTTTGCACTGGCTTCTTTGCAAGGGACTATCGCTAAAGGGCTTTAGATTAAACCAGAATGGAAATACTGTAAGGCAACATGTCAGGAAGAGGGCTGAACTGGGTGCCTTCAGTTATCTGTCAGTCCCTTCCATCCAGGGTGGAATAGTAGACTCTACACTGGAAGTACAATAGCCCCGTCCCTGTGTTAGCAGCACACATGGTATGGGCATAAACATTGAGCTGATTCAGACTCAAACACTTGACCAGGCAGCAAAGGACCTTGCATAACCCTGTTCTCTGTGCTCCCTGAGCCATCCAGTCTCTGATGTTATCACTTTAAATACAATTGCAGAGTGGTGTCTACTTCTGCTAGCCTCCGGGACAGCCTTATCTCTCTCAAGCAGAAGCTGTAGGAGGATTCCTGTGGGAAATGACACACTCCCCACCCTCTCCCCATTTCCTCCTGTTGTTTCATTTCCTCTCCTCCTCTCTCTCCCTTTCTTTCTCCATGTACTCAAGAGCCCCACCATGCTATCATTGTTCATTCTCCATGTAGCTGTAATGTGATTTGCTTCCTTTGAGGTCTGGCCCTCATGGCCATAAAGTGGAATTGCTTATAGGCAACTGTGAAGGGCACTTTGTGATCACGCTGCTCCAAAGGGCACTAATGCTGATGAAGCCTTTGCTGATTCAGAGTTCAGCACATGCCCTTTGGTGGTATGGCAAAACCACAACTGCTCCAGCAGGTGCACTACCACAGGGACTTTCCATATTAAGGGCCTGGTTGTCACAAGTGCAGCTACCACAACTCCTGAGGAAATCAGCGGGATTTGTGGGTGCTCCCTGCCTCTGAAAATTAGGATGTATACACTGTGGTTTAAATTTACCTTCTCTAATCCTGTTTGGATGCAAGGTTGAACTCCTCTGGGAAGTTCAGACTCCCTCCTTTCCTGCCCAACTCATTGAAACCTTGGCACCTCTACCAAAACTGCAGTCATGTGTGCTGGGCATGTTGTGATCAGAGCACATCACTTTTTGCCAGCTGAATTCCATTTACTAACCCACCATCATACAGTAATAACCAACCTGGGCTGGATTTGAACTGACAACTTTTAAATGAAATACACCATAGTCCAGCACAGACAGGCATTTCCTGAGCTATCAGACCCTTTAGGGGGACTAGAGATGAAACTTAAGTGCTATTATACTCTGTAAAGTGTGTGTTCAACTCTGCCTAATGTGCAGAGCTGTAGTTAGGCAAGCCAGAAAGTCACTTGTCTTAAACAGAGCAAATTCTCCTTATATGATTATAGGACACCACGTTCTCTCTTCATTATCTAGCCTCAATTTTAATTCTTGAATGTATGCAAAATACTGAATTAATTTTCAGTGAATATGCATTATTATTATTCATGGACTTTTCCACTTCTCCCTCCTCCACTTTCCTCAGAGACTCTTCTCCCTCCTCCACTCTCCAAACCCTTCTCCTGCAATTACCTTGACTGCTTGGCTTTTCTAGGCTGAGATACAGACAGTCTCGCCATTTGCTCCCTGCTGTTCAAGTGACTGGGGTTCTGAATTGCAGAACGTACAGGAAGGCTCTGATATGTTTAATGAGCAGCGGCTGTAATGATCTGCAGGTGTAACTCCTGTGATTCACACTTGTGTGGTTTGATGCAACTACCCAAGACTGCTGTATCTTTAGTTATTTTGTAGGAGTGCCTGCAACAACAAAGCATGAACCGGTCAGTGGTTTGGGCATTAACCTGCACATGGCTGCAGTTCCCTCCTTCTCCAGGAGGTCAAATCATAAAATCTCTGTGTACTGTAATTCGCTATTCATAATGTGAATAACAATGTTTCCTCGTTTCTGGGATGCTTTAGTGGGAGCACGTTCAAGATTGTAAGGCACTCAGCTACTGCAGCAGTGTGGCCATACAAACATCTCAGACAGTAGCACAGGAATGTTCAATAAGCCGAAGATCTCGGCTTGCAGACTCACCACATGCATTCATCAGAGAGCCGGGGATTTTTCATTGCTGTTGGAGTGCTGAGCTCTGTCTCTCCCATGTGAAACGTCTCAGCATAACCACCCAGTCTGCACTGGTCTTTACGCTGGGTTAAAGCTACATGAATTTCTCACACAGTTTGAGTAACCAGGATGGCTAGAACCAACCCACATTAGAATGCCTATTAACTGCTTCTACATGCTGTTAATTAAACTCATTGTGTTCTCATTGTTTGCTAACTTGGGGACTGAAGTTTAGGTGCAATCTGGCAGGTTAAACCACATTTGAAAAAAGATTTTTCTGGATAAAAGCTTAAACCAGATTTTAAAATGGTTTTCCAAATCAATCTGAAATGCTATGATGGTGGGAAATCTCCACCGGAAGGCGGACATTTTTATCACTCAGTTGTCATTGGTGCTTTCCAAAGAGCCCAGGGGTATTGCTACCGAAAGAGGCCATCTCTATTTGAATGGTGCCTATTTCTGCCACCTCCAGTGAATCATGCTTTTCAATACCATCCTTCTTTTTCAACCTCCAGATGCAGACCCCATCAGCAAAGAGTCGTGGTTCGGGAAAACATCACTGAGGAAGATGGGTCCATGGGCAACAAAATAAAGAGCATTGAAACCATATCTGTGATACACGGAGAGAGAAAAAAGGTATGTTTCTGGGAGCACTGATATCATGGGCAAAGAATTGAAGAGATGATGCAGTCAAGTAAAGATGCAGGCCCCGTGTTTCTCAGGCACTGATTTCCCTTTCACTGCTAACTGTTAACATGCTTTACATTCCACAGCCCTGGGATCATTTTGAGCTCTTGACTGTTTATGAATGTTTAGGACTCTGGCAGTGATGTCATTTTTTCTTCTTGAAGCTCCCCAAAGACCTGGGGGTCAAAAACCTTTAGGTCTTACTCAGCCTTGAGAAAGTGTAAGGCAAGCATTGCATAAGGGGGCAAGGTGGGGCATAAGAGCACAGAGGCAATAATGGCCCTAAGCTGTTAGTACTTTCCATGTGCAAAGTGCTCTATGGTGGGCTGAACAGCTAGGCTACCAATACCATTGTGACGGGGGAAAGCATTATCTTTCCAACAACAGTAGCTCAGGATCTACATTATTAAAGGGGCCCACTAAGTTTGGGTACCTCCAATTCTTGGGTGCTCAGTTTGAGGCAGGTTGGCCTCATTTGCTGAGGTTCCAAGTGCCTGCAGGTCCCCTCCCTGCCTTGTGGTTGTTCATTACCCCTGGGGCACCAGCCACCCCACAGTGGATTGTAAGGGTAAGGCTCTATCCTGTCTCCTTCTGCCCTGGCTGGCCGTGTTAGCTAGCCACAGAACGCCTCCTGCAGACTCCAAAGAAGGGGCACAGTGAGTATACTCCCTCTGTGTACTTAGAAGAGCCGGTTGATGCAGCATCTTACAGAGCTTTACCTAGGCGCATGCCTTAGCTGAACAAACTTGTGCATTTCAAAGACCAAGATGGTGCCATTTATCAATGTCCATTCCAATCAGTGGCAACTGAGTCTGTGAGTGTTTGGCTCTAGGTATACAGATTTTGGATCCTGCCCCAAAGAAGGTTTGTGTTTTGGCTGAGGCAGTTGTTTAACCCATAGTCATTGTACTTACTGGGGTTACTGGTCTTGGGGTGCTGTCACAGTTCCAAGATATTTATATGCACATGCCTGGGAAAAGGAGCAGAGAAGCCTTGGATGTTGGGGGGCTTGATCCTGCCTGGTACTGAATGCTTTGGTCCTGATCCCACAAAGCACTTAAGCATGTGGTCCTCTTTATGGGCTACTCACATACTTAAGCGCATGCTGATGTGCTTCCTTGGTTCAGGTCCAGTACAATCAGCACCTGGCAGGATCGAGTCCTTGGCCATCTGGTCTTTCTCATGGAGACTTTCCAGTGATCAACATAATCTAAAGCAGAGCTCTGAAATGTACCTGTGGGGGAGAAAACCACAATTGCCATTTAATTCCCAAAGTTGTCTCTGTGCCATGGCTACCCTATGTTTATGGATGTGTTTAAGTGTTTTGGTAACACAGTGTCCTTTACGCTTTGTCTTTACCTACTCCCTCAGTGCCATAATTTTCGATAAGACACAATCAGTTGCTTCTGAAGAATCTCAGCAATTGCTGTTGAGAAGGGGCCATTGGCTCAGCCTTTAATGGGGCAGAGAACATAACAAACCATTCCAAACCTGTGATACAGGGTTTTATCTTTAAAAAGGCCACTGAAACCCTTTCTGGGTGGAAAGGTAAGTTCTTCTGGCTCACCAGGGGCAGGTGTGTGACAGTTTGTTTCCAGGGTGGGATTTCAGTCTCACTCACTGGGAATTTGGGGCCTGAATACAGGTGGGTGCTGTGAGAAGAGAGCCATATTGGAGCATGAGGTGCTCAGAGACTGTGGCATTGGGACCATGTAGTCTCCCAAAATAGAGAGCTTCAGCATCTTCCACCCAGATTTCTCTGTCTCCTCTCTGGCCCTCCACGAGGTATTTCTTTCTCTGGCAGGTAAACTTTTATGGTCCTTCTGGGGGTGAGTGAAGCAGTTTTGTAGCAGACATTGGATCCTAGTCTTCAGTCCCCTTCTCCCTCCTTTGTTCCTCTTTCTAGATTTCAGTCTTGAGTTTGTGTCTTTGTTCATTTCCAAAAGCTCAGCACACACCCTTTGTACTTCAATGGTTAAATGTTTCATTATGAAGCTGCCATAAAAAGATACTGCCATGAATTATATCATCTTGCAATTTATGAAGCCTTCATTATTTTCCTCTTCCCCTGACCCATTGGTTGGAAATGCACTCTGGTGTCTCTCCTAATAACTGTGCATCTTGATTAAGATTTATTCCTATTAATAAAACTGGATTCTGTGCATCTCAGATTTCAGCACTCTGTCTGCCTGCTTATGTTACTGGGCAGTCCCCTCCCCCAGCTTTATGAAGTCTAAACCTATCTGTGCGAAGTTTAGTGGAGATAATAGCATGTAAAGTAAGGAGCACACTGTTCAAATCTTGTAGCCTTCAGACTCTTCCTTGTGTTTTATCAGTGGTCCTTCCCACCAGAACTGAAACATACAGGAAATAAAGCAGTCCTTTCCCACCATGTCCTAACAAGTAATTCATCTGCATTTGACTAGCCAAATGAAATAATAAAGATGTTGGAGACTGGGTTAACCTGGCTTTTATTGACTGTGTTAGGAAGCTGGGATCAGTGGAGATTGGTTATTTTTTCCTTTGTGACTTGAGCCTGTCCTGTTTTTGCTGAAGGCCTGCAGAAAAGAGGGTGAAATTTTCCTTGGTCTCTAGAATGTCAGTCATGTCGTTCCCAGTCTCTCTGCATTTCAGTCTCAGAGAGCTCCGGCGATGCAGGTTTGTGTAGCAACATTTAAAAAAATAATGGAGTACCATATTTCTTAAAGTGTAGGTTGTGTTTTGAAGCCCTATTTTGTGGGGCGTAAAAATCTAACTCAACTTATACACTGTGCCGCATCAAAAAAATGGGGCACGAGGCTGGGCTCAGCACTCAGCTGGCATGACCCCATCCCCTGTGAGCGGCACTGCCTGGGCCACACCAGCACTACTCACAGGGGAAGAGGCCACACCAGCTAAGCATCAAGCCCAGCCCAAACTTATCAGTGCCTATAAAAATACTTACCTTTTTGATCAAAAAGCCAGGGGTTTACCTATACGCTGTGTCAACCTATACACCATGAAATATGGTAACCCTTTTAGTTCTGTGAAAGACAAAGACGTGTAAACAGACCCCCACAATGAAATCTCGCAGAGTGAGGAGCTGCTGCCTAGAGCCAGAATTTTGCTGTCCACTGAGTGCACTGGGTTTTGAAGTTTCTTGTAGACCCTGTATTTTTTAAGCCTTGAATTTGCCATGGGTCAGTAGTCAACCAAGAGCTGTTATGCTGCTAGTGATGATTTTACTCAGCTGACACATGTGACCACTTTATAACGATGACATACTAGGGTCCTGAAGCAGCATTTACACATTAAACTACATTATCCTTGCAGGGTAAAGGAGGATTATATTTATTATTATGAAGTTAATTTCTCCCTCCTTCCTCTGTGGAGTTCTCTGCCTAAGACTGAGGACTCAAGAGTGAATTTCATTTTTAAGGCAAAGCATGTGGTTATCATTGATAACACAACATTCTTCATGAGAAGTTGGGTGTTAACTCTGTTCTGGCCAAAACTCTGGTTTCAGCAATTATGTTCTACACACCTAATTTCTCCCAGCCATTCTGGATGGACACTGTAGTCTCCAATTCTTATTTTTAAAGTGCTGCCAGAGATAGCTTCGTTTCAGGGCCAAGTGAAGCCTCCACTAGTGTGTTGGTTGCTTTGGGATCTCCCCTTCAGGCATGCTCCCCATCCAGCCTATGGATCAGGAGCTCACTTGGAAGAGGCAGTCTTGGGTTTTAGTTCCTGCTTTATGTATTTTATCCAATGTTTTCATGAAGAATCCCCTCAGACAAAAGCAATCATATCTAGGTAGGTGATATCACACTGGACTGTGAATGCCAAGTGGAGGGAGTGCCTTTGAGTAGTGCTGAGTAAGGCACCTAAAACCCAGAGAGGGCAGGGATTGATCAAAGTACAACCCAACCCTCAGCCTTACCTAGGACAAGCTCTAGACAGTTCCCTATTCAGCATGGCTGGGTGGAGGCACCAAAGCCAGGTCTACACATCAAGCACATTGTGCCAGGCAGCAGTACCCTCAGACATGCCACACTGCTCCGTGCAAGCTGCCTACCAAAACAGAAGCAGCATGGCAACATCCACAAGGCCCTGTGAGCAGGCCAGTTGGCTCTGTCACTCACCAGCACTGACTGGATCACCCAAAGTGGCACATGGACGTGGCTATGCCACTTCTGCTTTAGGAGGTAGCCCACGCAGAGCCATGAGGCATGTTGAAGAGCACTGAGAGTGGACCATACATATTTGCCTTGCCTCTTACCTTGCATTTATTAGGGACCCTCAAGAACTACTTCAGGGCTCTGGATTCCACACTGGCATTGGGTGGGTACCTCCCCGCTAGGCATTGCAGTGTTCAGCACTGTGGCAGCTAACTGCTACTTTGAATCTGGGCCTCTGTGCCTGAAAGGATCATATCGTGGATGGCGCAGGAAGCGCTAGCTCCCTTGCATCTCTGACAGGGTGAGGAGATTCCAAACGCCGGCTGGGTTTTAAATGTTGACGTGATGCTTCACCCTTCGGGCCCTTTTTTCAATTGAAACATGATCTACCACTCCCGGTGAGCACGAGCAGTGGATGGAGAGTGGATGGAAGCTTTCAGTGCGGAGCATTGTAGAGCAAAAGAAGCACTGAAGGTAAACCAAATCACAAGACAAAAGAGACAGCTCCAGCAAGGTTTGTTTAATTCATTGTTTACAGACAGCTTTAATCATTTTGTTCTTATTCAGCACCTTTCAGCTGAAGTCCTCATAATCTTTGCAATCAACAAACCTCCCTACACCCCTGTGAGGTAGGTGGGTATTTTCCAGATAGGGAAACTGAGGCATGGAAAACTTAAATGACCTGTCCAGGGACAACCAGTGGTGTTGCAGTATGTGAGCTAAGATCAGGCTGGAGGCTGTCAGGCCTAGATAGACAGTGAGAGAGAAATGTGATGCAGTTGCCATTCAAGGGGAGGCATTAGGAGCTAATTGAATGTATTTGCAGGGTTGCTAGTGACATTCCAAATACTTGTGTCCTCCTCCAGCCACCTGCTTCCAAGCTCTGCCAGAGTTAGACATCTGATCGCTTTTCTACCCACCACTTCTCCTCCTCATCCTCGCCCACGTGTTGCTAACAAAGTGGAAGAATTGTTAACCGGAGCCAGGAGAGGGAGGGATGAGACCTAGGAACTGAACAGCAAAGAGTAGCAAAACAGTTATTTGTGCAAGCTCCAACTTAACTGCAGCTTAAAGAAAAGGCCTTGCTGCACTGTGCTTGCTATAAAACATCTTCAAACACTCACGCAGGCCAGTGGTGGAATGCAGGCTGGCAGCCTCTAAACCAGTCCTCTTTATCAGCCCAGGCATGTTACACAGTTAGACATATGGACTTCATTGAACTATTCCACTGTATCTTTTTCTAGCAATAACAATCTTTGTATTTGCCATCACTATTATTTAGAGATTACTGTCATTTAATTGCTTTCATTTTCGACCTTTAAACTTTGTTTATTCTTTTATTGCAATTCTTTACTAGCTAATTATTCTTGGACTGGAGGGGTTGGAAGGCCCAGGGCTTAAGTAATAGGCAATGGAGACTTTAGTTCCAAATCCAGCGTAGACAGTGTAAAATTGTTACCTCCCAAAGGGCATTTGGTGGCCTCTGTGTATCAAGCTGGCAGGCTATTACTGCAGTTCCTGTTAGATAAGGTGGCAAATGCCACCACCATATGTTGACACTAATTGCCACTACTTAGCAGCAGCATCTGCATAAAAGCAAAGGACCAAACGGCTTGTTGGCTGAACTACACACAAAGAGCAAGCTTTCCAGGTACCGGTCTACCACCATTCATGGGAGCTATCACTATAACTGTTATAGTCACTGCAGGCCATACTGCAGTCCCACTGTTGGAGCTCAGCAGAGAGTGATTCAGTCCAGTTGGGAAGAGTTTTTTTAAGTAAAATGGGATGAGTTTACATCTGATAAATGCTGACATATCTACAACTGTTTTACTCCTGGTCCAAATTTCCATATATGCCTATGCTTGTTGCATGCATTAAGCACTGAAATTAAGAAGATAGAGGGGACTTACTGGATCATATAGCTCTTCCTCACGGTACTTTTTGTTCTTCCCTCTTAAGTATTACATGTCCCAAATGATGGGGACATTAAACTTCACTTGAGAGATGATGACTCTAATCCAGTGGTTATCAGCCAGGGTACCATGGCACTTCGGGTGCTGTGAGAGAGGATTTTATAGGATGCTGCTCAATATTAGCACCATTAGATGTTCAAACATGTCTACATGATTTACAAGATAAACCAGAGATTTAATATAGGAACACAGAGTAAACCTTCTGGTCTATTGTGGTCTTTTCAAGTTGTTTGCAATAGAAAAAATGCTCTATTATTTTTCTGTGGTCAAAAATCAAGTGAAAGATGATAGCTGGCATTTTGTGAAGGGTTTCTTGAATCTAAAAAGGTTAAAAATCACTACTGTGACCCAGCAGTGTTTGCTGGTAGGAATCTCTTCCCCTTTGTTCTCCTTACATTTTCAGTTGCTTAGTTTCATCCCACTCACTACATTCATTCTCCTCTTGCACATTTTTTCTTAAAACTCATGCATTAAAATGACTTCAGCAAGGGATGGGATTTACAAGACCAATCCTCTAATTTCCACCTGCAGTCTGGGGCAAAGCACAGACATATTTCATGTGGGTGAAGTTTATTCAAACTTTGGATCTTTAACCATCTAGTCTAACAGACGATGAACATCTGTGGAAACATCTGTATCACGTAGGCAATGATTTTTTTTCCCACCATCTGGGTTAACAGGGGTTACTTGTCAATGGAATCTGCTTACTTGGTATGTCTATGATACTTCAAAATGCAGAGACTGTCACTGGACCATCACTTCCTGACCACTTTGTTCAGAGTCAATTCTGGTTTATTTTTCTGAACAGCAGAGAAAACTGTCTAGTTTTGCTGGGAGTGGGACTGGGAGATTTGTGCAAACTTGTTAACCCTCCCCCCGATGTAACATTTGTGTGTTCCAAGGCCTCGTTTTATTGGAAACTGAAACAAGATTAGGGCAGTCTGGCAACTGAGAACTTTATTTAAGATGCTGCAAAAATAATTGGACTCCTGATCTTGGGGATTTACTCAAGGAGTGAACAGCTAGAGCAAAAGGCTGGTACATAATAGTTTCAAGGGATTCATCTTATTAAAAGAGAATCACTCCAAATCCTTCATTTCCCCTTGGACAATCCCATGCACTTCTCAGCTGAAAAATGCTGTTGTGAAAATCACTTTCTGGAGGGCTTCTGTAGGCACTGTTTTAGAGCTAGGACAATAAACTGAAAGCTCTCTGTTGTATCCAAGTGTGTACACTCTGCGCAGCCACCTGGCATCTGAGTGCACAACACTGTTGTCTTAAATTCTGCAGGCAAGAAAATCTGTTATTTTTTCCTTCCTGCAGTAAGTCTTTTCCAATAACTTACCCCCAAATAAAGCTTGTTCTAATGCATTATTCTACCAAGCTCCTCACCTTCACATGCAGGCACTTTTGAGATCAGGTAAGCTAAGGTCTCTGATTAACTTAATATAATCTGCTCTTCTCTCTTTCCTGCTATGAGGGACTCTTCTAGGTAGTTCCACACTCATGGATCTTATTATATATATTTGACTGGCAAGTGAACATTTAAGAGATCTCCTGGCTGTATTCCTAAGAGCTGGGTTTTTACCTTTAAAGTTCTGGCCAAATTCCTGAGTGAGAAATTACATTGTGTGCCTGTCTAAATTCCACCCCTTGCCATTTTAACAGGATATACAATATTCTTCTTGACTCCCTGTCCAGAATCGTCACATACTGAGTCTTTGACTTGTAAGCAGCTGTCCAGTTTCATCCCTTTCAGTCCTGGAGGAGGCAGTTCTAGTACCTATAGTTTTATGATTTAGGAATGAAAAATCCTATAGAAGATGTAGAAGCCAAGCATTGGGATGAGGAAAATGAGATTGGTCCTAATCCAGAAAGGTACTCAAATGCAAAGTCAAAGGTATTACTGAGATGCTTAACACGATACCTGACTATGTTGCTGAATTGGAGCCATTATTAAATGTAATAGCAGAGAGGAAATGCTGAGGGAAAAAATAGAAGGTAATGCTTGACTTTGGGGATATTGTGCTCCCAAGAGCTAGCTATTTTCACATCAGAAATGAAGTGTGATGGCACTGGAGGGGTTCTTTGGGTCCCTGTTCTGTAGTCTCACCTATTACCTGTTTTATTCCCTGTTGTTTAACTGCAGCACTAGATGTCCCTGAGAAATGTGTTTAACCTTGGCCCTTACTTGTTACCTTACTGAGGTGAAAGAGAAATCATCCCCATTAAAATAGAGAATTCATATAGGATCAAACCTCTGAAACTCATTTCCCCATAAGATTTAAAGCACCAAAGCTCAGAAGATCTTAAATAACTCACTGAAAATACATCCCTCCCTGCTCTAAACACGTTCAAGGTGAAACTTTATGAGCAGCAAAGGAATGCCTCATGTGCATTTAGTTTAGAATATTAAACAAAAATCCGGGGATGCTTTTCTACACATCAAAGCACTCCCAGAGATAAAGATAAAGGACCAAAAGGTGCTTTAAGTTTTGACCCTCAAACTCCTTGCAAATGACTACAAGGAAAACTATTTGTTCCAAATGCATCTGCGTTGAGATCTTCAGGTGAAGGGCTCCACAGAAATGCTAAGTATCTTATAGAAGTTTTGACAGGTAGTGTCCTAGCATCTTGCTACCTGCATCAGGTCCTCATGAGTCTCAGTGTTTTCATCACAGTTAGAGGATGCATCTGATGAGTTTAGGAGACCACCAACCCAAGAAATCCCCAGCATTCACTAAAGCCAAGCTAAACTGCAGAGATAGTCATTATATCTCCCTGCCCTGGAGGAATATCCCTGTAGAATATAACTCTAAAACCTCTCTCACTTCAAGGGACATCACTCATGCTAACTTTCAAGTCACTCACTTTCCACACACATCTTTGTGTCCTGTCACCTTCCTTTGTGAAAATTGTTTATCTCAGAAATAGCAGCCACGCATCTGAGGCTGTGAAAAAGGGTTCTTTACGCTGCATAAATTACTCACGATGCATTTTTAGTTTTGTATATGAATCTGCGGTCTTGCATTTTGATTTTTGTCATATATTGTGTTTATTAGGCATTGGCAGGATGAGCGATGCACTGAAAAGGGAGGAGGTTGTCAAGAGAAGGTGGGGGCCTGTTAGAGGTGGGAAAGGAGAGTGAACTCTGGTCTGCAATGAGGGAACAATGAGTGACTACAGGAGCTGGGGAGAAGCATCTGACTGCTGCTTGGCTTCATTCATTACTGGAACCAACTCCTTTTCTATTGCATGACAGAGTACCTTTACCTAGAGGGTTTACTGACTCCTGCTAAGGGCACACTCAAAACCTTTCTTTCTCATCCCGCGTTTGGCAGATTGTGAGCACACTGACCACAGAGAGCAGCAGTGCATCGGGGATCTATTACTGTGTGGCTTCAAACAAGATTGGCACAGAGAAGAGGAGCATCAAGTTCTATGTGTCAGGTAAGCAACAAACACTGCAGATGATGGACACACTTCCTGTCTTAAGGTTTCATACTGCTGAACATCTGCTCTGGCACCTCTTCCTAAGTATTAAATTCTGCCCTACCTTACGGCAGTGCTTTCCCACTGAAGTCAAGGGAGCGTGTGCAAGTAAGCAAGGGCAATATTGAGACCTGATCCAATCCCACCAAAGTCAATGCAAGTCTTTTCGTTGACTTCAGTAGATGTTGGATCAAGGCCAAGTAATTAACCTTTACAGAGCTCTTTAAAAAGGAATGGGGTCAACATGTTATTCCTCCAGATAACACAAATCCAACAAATATCAGCTTAACCTTTTAATGCTGAACCCTGTCGCAGTGAAATGACATCTCATAAGCTGCTTTTAATAGAAATGAAAAAAGAAAGAGTCCAGGAATATTTGATCAAATGTTTAACCAAATTAACCTTAACAGTACCCATTCCTTCTACCCATTTTCTAGATATATTCTATCCAAGAAAGTTTCCTATCAGAATTACCATTGAAATAGCATGTTTAAAAACAAGCTGACTGGAAAGTAAATGTCACAATCCATAAAAATTTGCAATGGGAAGTGAAGTTGAAGAAAAAGCTAGCACCACAGTTACTCTGTAATATTCTATGTCATCTAGAACCATGACTGAAGTATTTCAGTACAGTATAATAATGGTGTATCATGTAGTCATTTTTGTTACCTAAAACTGACAATGAAAAATGTCACCAAATGATAATGAGGACGGTGCAGTTTTGGTGCCAGCTTATATCCTGAATCAGACCTCTTATGCCATATTTAAAACCTGGTATTTAGAAGAGAGGGAGGGACAGGTACAGCTGCAGGGGAGCTTATCCAATGCAAAAAAAGTATTGGACCAATATATATAAGAGCCACCATGGTGGGGAGTGCAGAGATAGGTTGTGGGATCAGAGGAGGAGAGTGCAGAGTGCTCTGTACTTCAACAGTGCTGGTCTGGAGAATATAATCTCTTCCTCTTACAATGCAGTTCTGAGAGACAGCACCGATCTCTGAGGTCCTTGAGACAGCCCAAGCAGACAGGAGATCCATTATGAATTATACACTTCCCACTACTATATGTGAGCCTTCATAAAGGTTTCCTTCTGCAGCGAACAATGCCAGATATTATATTTGGATAGGTTCCTCAACAATCAAACCCACTATTCCAACCACAAGACTTTATAATACCTTCCATCTTCCCTTACTAAACCCGACACTATAACATGTTAGTGTGGGAATACAACTGGAGCAAGATGAGGTTCAAAGAGTGGTACCCAACTATAGGCCTTTTAGTGCTAAAAACCCCTTTTGCCCACTAAGAAAGATGAGCCCTTTTTTGCACTGAGATACTTGTTATCAGAGTTGACACAAGTGGTGTTTTTCCACACAATTAATTGGAAGTTTAATACCTCAAATATTTCATTTTTTTGAAGGCCGATATGTTTTGACATATGTGTATGATGCAAATGTGCAAGGCATACTTTTCCAACAGTATGAGTAATTACTGTAATTAACCATTGCAACAACTTGCCAAGGGCTGTGGCAGATTCTCTATCACTGGAAAGTTTTTAAAACAAGAGTGAATGTTTTTCTAAAAAGATATGCTCTAGTTCAACCATAATTATCACACTTCAGGCATACGTTAATTGAGGGAAGTCCTGCAGCTTGTGGGCACATCTACACATGCATTAATGAGCCTTTCTAATGTGCATTAAATTTAGTGCCTCCAGTGTGAGGTAATAAATGAATGCGCATTAAGCTACACTAATGCACAGTAGTAGTGCATTTGCACACTTTTCTAGTGACACTTAATGTGCAGTAGACAATTTTACTGCACATAAGCATAATGTCACAGGGTTTTTTACATGATGCTTTAATGCAAAGTAAAATAGTCTACTGCACATTAAAATGCACGTATAGATGCTCCAAGTGTTATGTAGATGTTCAGACTAAATTATTACAATGGTCCTTTTTGGTATTAAAAGATATGAAAGGTGAAGTTTGATTTTTGTACTACCATGAGTTTGCCTTCACAAGTTTTTTTCCAGACAGTGGAAAAAAGGGGAGGAGAGAGAGAGAAAGAGAACAGTTTGTAAGGCAGTGTATTAACATTCCTGGGACAATGTGCCATGAGATCTCCTTATCCATGCTGCTACTTATCTTAAGCCATGTAAGGTTATTCCCATCACACAAAATTGCTTTCTTTCCATCTGAGATAGACCAGATCATGAACAAACCTAGGGAAAACATTCTCAGCCCTGAAACGGAAGTGAGTTCCATCCCATCCTAAGAGAAGGACAAGCATTAAATGTTAGCATAAATCACATGTTTAAGGAAGAACAGTGGCATTTATGGATGAGGAAACTGAATTATTCTAAATGTAGACATCACAGTCCCCAAGGCAGAATTGTTTAGATTCCACTGATAAAATATCCCCAGGCTGACCTGCTGCTTTGTCTCTTCATGTGATGGTCCTTGCTGAGTGGTACATGTTACTCCAGCCAAGTGGCCAGTTCCTTTGTAGACCTCACAGGAGCAGCAGCTCTTGGATTGGTTCACAACTGGGACACCATTATCCACCTTGCATTCAGTATGAGATTGGTGAAGAGCCAAGCATACCATCTTGTCAACCTTTTGTGGAGTAGACGTGGCTGAGCTTATTATCTGCAGAGCACCCAGGTGATTCCCATGGAAGTTTCTTCCTTCTCTCTTGCTGGGCAAACATGGCTTTTGGGTTGCCTGCTGTGGATGCGGTGTCCTAACACATAGAAGGCCAAGCAGTTTGGCCCTGATTACAGAAGCTGGACTGCAAGTGACCAAAGGGAAAGCATCTTATGCAGCAAGTATGAACAGGATGCCCTAGGAAAATAGGTCAGATCCTATCTCAAAGTGCAAGTTTCCTAGTCTGTCCAATATGCCACAGCAGCTGCTATAAAACTGATAGCTTGGGGGCTGAACAGTGAAACCAAGGACAGAAGAAGACACTCATGTTACAACTGTGAGGCTGATGAGCTTCATTCAGGTGAATCTGAGAATTGTCTTAGGTTGAATACAGGATTGAAAAGTAAACACACAACCTTTGGGACCAGTTCTGGCAAATCTTTCCTGCCTTTCACAACCACCCAACTGTGCTCTGAAAGTCACCTTCTGCTGGTGGGACTCTGCACTTCACGCAGAAGCTGTCAGGAAAATTCTGAGCTCGCCTCATCTCCTTCTGTCCTATGTGAAATGATCTATGTCTCATGTCACTTCTAAAGCATCCCTCGGAGCTGGTCCCCTTGTTGAGTCTGTTTCAAGAAACCCAGTGCTGAAGGGGCCTGAGAGGCTAAATTCTCCTCTTTCCCAGGAGGCTGTCCCTTTAGGTCAGGACTGAGATGATATAGTGGAGCACTGAATGAGGAGTAAAGTGGGAAACCTGTGCTGTCACTACCCAGGCTGCACCTGTTCTGTGGGAAAGTACAGCTCCTGAGTCCTTGGGGCTCCCAGCATGGCACATTTGCCAGCATTAAGTTGCTTTCTGGAAAGCACTCTCTTTGTCCCAGTGGAATATCAGCACAAGCCATGTTCTGTTCTACATGGCAGCTCTTCAGGATCCTCTGCAAGACACTGGAAATAGCACCAAAAGCTATTTTAAAACATTTCAGTGCCAGCAGGACACATTTGGAGATTACTCTGAAACCAAACCATATAAGGGCTCTATCTAGATGGAAAGTGATAGTGTTAGATGGAAGATCTAAAGCTTTGTTCAGTTCTTCCTGCAGATGTTCTCTCTGCTCATAAGCTACTACAGCCCCCACAGTGCTTTAGGCAAGCTAGGTGTGTTTTCCCTGCTGTTCTGGCCAGACACCTGCTCCAGTATTTTGATTCCAGCTAACTAAACCCCAAACCCTCTTTACAGGGTCAGCTACAGATCAGTTGTTTCAGTGTGTACTGTCTGTCCCAATTTTGACACCCACAAGCCCATGTAAATCATAGCTGGCAGGAGCCAAGTGGTCAGCCCATCTTTGGAACTGAATCATGTCTTTGCCAACCACAGATTGATGACAAATGCCAAAGAACACACACTGGAGCCAACTACATTTGAATCCATTTTAACAAAAGCTGAGCAAATACCCACTCCTGAGGAATTTCAAGCTTTGAGCAAATATTAGTCAGAATTTGGTCTCTGATCTGTTCCACAGACAGTACAGCTGCACATCAGAACAGTGCAGCTACACATCACTGTGCATCCACTGTACAGTTCCAATCTACCTCTGTGTGTTTGCGAAGCACCCAACAATGAAGACACCTGTCACACACAATAATCATAATAATTATAATAGCAAACAACAATAGCGCTTTCACAACCCTTCTCTGGTTGAAACAAGAGCTCAGCAAAATTCAATGAAATGTCCTTCTTGAAAAGAAAATATTCTATTTCAGACATCAGATAACAAACAAACAAATGTGCTGTCAAAAGCTGTAATGCTTTATGAATTTAACATTTCTACCACTGTTTGCCACCATCAGTTTGCTCCTTCCTGACAAGTTTATGGGACACATGAAAGGGCTGGTGTTGTTTCAGGCTGTCAAGCTTGCCCTCACTCTGCCTGCATCTGACTTGCTAGGTCTGACATGGGGAGACTGTCACCTTGACAGACTCTGACATGGATTTCAGGAAAGAGCTAAGTTTTAAATTATACCAATTATTGTGCAAAACACAGGAAATTAAAAGCAATTAATTCCTCGTAAATACAAATGGAATCAGACTTCCCTTTTGTTTTTTTCTGATGTTCTATCTTCCCCCAAAGGCTCATTTTCCTATTTTGTTGGGGAATCCTATATGGTCTTGAATGACTATTGCCGCTACTAGGCTGTAATACAGTGAAAAAGACAAATGCATAGGGCCTGCTGGTAAAGGAGAAAAGGCCACATAGTGTATTCATATGGAGCATTTATTAGGAATCTCATGACATACTGCATCTGTTCAGG